GTTGTCGGGTGCCAATCTTGGTACCCGGTTTGAATGCAATATTGTGTGCGACAGAGCAAAGTGCCGCGGTGAATCCGAAGTGTGTTTTCTTTCCAGCTTCTTCCTGCACATCCGAGGGGCGAGTAGGATTCGCACCAGCCGTATCCTCATCCACCGCAGCCGAATTAATAGAACTGGTTGACGAACTACTGGATGAACTGCAAGATGCGGCCACACCACCGGGGCCGGAACGAGTCCCACGATCGGAGACAGGACCACAGAGTGGATTGCCTGATTTCTTCATTCGTGTGGAACAACAACTGGATGAACTGGATGAGAAGGAGGCACGAGATGAAGCCATTCGACGACCAGACGATGTATCTGATGAAGCCAGAGATGATGGTGAAGACGGAGCACCATCGATGATCACATTCACTCCTCCCATGGGTACTCCACAGCCACCACCGCTGTGTTCGACAAGACTAGTTGGGACAGAGATTGCCTTACTCTGTTGTTGATGCACTTGGCGTTGCCGTTTAGTCTGACGTGTGCGGTGGTGATTCCGGGGCTCTGTTCGTTTAGTTATGTTCAATCCACCCACATTCACTTGTGGGCCATGTTGTTGTTGTTGCTGCTGCTGCTGCTGCTGGTGATGACGACGATGGTGATGATGTGCGGGATGGGTGTGATTTTCGGCCAGTGGTGAACGAGTCGATTTGCTGTCCACTGGGTCAACCATATCCCGATCTGGGGCATTCGATTTGACTGCTTTACGGGTATCCTTTTCGTGACGTTGACCTGAACTAGTCCAATTCGACCCGTGGCCGGTAATGCCAGTTCGTGGTTGAAACCAACCCGCGGCCGGACGGAGACATTCGCGCCCAGGTAAACAAGTGACACAACCCTGATTGATCATCTGTGAGTCCAGTGTGTCGGCCGCACTGCGTAGACTCCACTGGCCAATCAGAGTGCCTGCTTCACTATCCCCGGCACTCGTGCCAGCACCGTTGCCACCACAACCCACGGTGGTCTCATGCATGGCGGTTAGAAGGGCCAGATTTTCACGTTCCAAATGTCCCGGTTCGATCAGGGCAGATGAACTGAGAAATGGATCACTCGGACCCGGTGCACTCGCGTTCACTCCATTCACCGACCCGGTCACAAATCGAGTCGGGTCAATTTTGAATGTGCGATGTTCATTGGTCTGAACGAAATCGTTCGGATAGTCCACTTCATGCACGGTGACTATCGGGTGCACTTCACCGGACAGATTGTGCGGTTCGTTCGGGTTGGGCTTCCCTGGGGGCGGAACTACTCCAGGACGCGATATGAATAAGAGGAAGAACGAAAACCATAGATGAAAGACTGTTTGGTTAGTTACAACATTATATTACTACTATGACCGCCACACACACACGCAGTGAGAATTTAGCATTACTCAAGATTACTTAACTAACACTAAGGAATTCGAATTTATTGACCACTAGAATGAACCAACACCGCTCTATAATGTTCATCGTAAATATTGCTAATTATTGACAAAAATTTGTCTGTATTACCGTATGAATTCGCATATAACAGATCCTGCGTAAGATTTTCTTTTTCGAGTCTCATTCGTTTGGAATCCCGGCAGGGAAGCAAAAATACTACTAGCTACTCGTGAGTAGCAGTGTTTCCTCTAGACGATTGCACAAAAACTTCAATCTTTGACTTTTCTTATTGTAGAAACAACGGTACAATCAATTTTTGAGGCAGCAGTAAGTGGTGTATTAAACGTAATTCGAGGACAACACCTCAGAATCGATGCGATTAAATTCGGCAATGCAATGTCTAATGCGGTTCAAAATCACCAGACAAACGCTTCGACTTGAGTTCAGCAAAATTCGCACGTGGACATGAGCATCGAATGGACTGCTTACGAGCCTTCCACGTCGATTGTTTGGTCCGTACAGATTTGGTAAATTTTAGGGCCATAAGTCTCTTCCGTTCTCGCTTTATACTTCCATAGTTTTAGTTTTCATAGATCCATCCATGAAAAAAAACACGAGGTGATTGTCTGGACCTGTGTAAGGTCTGTATGGCATACTGCTATCTGCACGATTCTGCCAACCGTCCAGATCGAATATTTGGTAAATGGTGATTTCACAGGCCAGTGACGGTAATTCACGAGCCCAGAGAATAAATCAGATCACAGCTGTGATGCCGGGGTTGAATGCAGGCTATCAGTGGAAACACTGATTTCGGTTCTGAACCCACTGTATCCTTCTATCACGAGAGTGGTGCACATTAATAATTACGACCAGTAACCTACAACCCTAAAATTTGGAATACAGGAACTCTGAAGATGCGATTGAAACTGTGAGGTTTTATGTCAGACTATACCGGATCAAAGTGGATTGGTGATATGAAGTATTGGACACACGTGACGAGAATTGATGTGGTGGTGGCCACCACAATTACACAGGGATATGTTGTTTGAATAGATCATAGAGTACAGCTTAGAAAAGGAGGCTAGTAAATGTCCACAGACTTACAACCTTTACAAATGAACTATAAGCGTGACAATAACAATGATTTGTTAACTCTCAGTTATCGGTCATCTAGGGTGCACAGGACCAAGTGTAACTATTTCACTATGGACTAGCAACTGTAAAGTGCAACTCATCAGTGGATCGTTTATGAGGAGAATAACCATCGAAGAAAGAAAGGACTAAACAAAAAACTAAGACTGTAAGAAGAATCAATTGGGCCTGCCCAAAACGAGGGTGGCGAGAAACATCGGACATGAGAGAGACTGCTGAACCATGACTTGTTCGAACGCAGACATCGAGGTCTGTGTTAGTATTCGTCGTGTTGCTTTCCACATGGCACATAATCCCGGGAAGACTTGTGAAAGAAACTGCCGGTACATGTTTTAACCAAGATTTAACTAACATTTGCGACCTTATTCAGCTACAGATAACAGTTAGTAATTGATCTTTAGACATTCTAAGGGTGGATCAAATGTGTGTCTCAGTTAATAAGAGGCAATGATCGAGCAGCTTATTTTGGGATCTATGCGATGCACTGGGTTCTACGACTCAAATCCTACAGTCACCGCAACTCGGCTATGTGGCACGCAGTTTCACTTGTTCTCTCTCAGCTCAGTTCAAATCAGCTCAACATCCTGCTTATTCTCTTAAGACCCAATATGATTCATCGCTTCAGACCCTCGCGCTTCAGATTGCTGGTTTCCATAACCGAATGGTAGGCACTTGTGATCCTTCTTACAGTTCGGCAAATTGAGGTAGGCTCAAAAATAGCGATAATGACAGAACTGACCAACACCACCATTTTATTAAAGAAGAAAAATGCAACCTAGATTCTGAAGTGTTCAGCGCACTTGAAGGTAAATGTGATCTCCCTGAGGCAAAAAACTTACCCAGTGGTGAATTTGTGCCTTCCGGTAACGTTTCATTCATAGTCTGTCAAGGCAAAATGGACAAAGTGGTTTTTAGTGCTTCAAAATGAAACAGTCAACCATGTTTATAAAACGAAGTCAGAATACAGACGATATACAATGGCCCTCGGAACATTGGAAGTTCATACTTTAATCGAAAGACAAATATAGAGACTACTCTTATAAATACCTAAAATGCTTGCTTTAAACACTCCCATAAGGCAGCTTATCTTATCCAGTATGAATCGAGGGCATTTGCAATTGGCTTTAGCACTGTCTAGTGGAGAGGTAGGTTCTTTCAGTAGCTTCATTTTTGATTTTTTACTGCTCATATTGAATACATGATGATGCACCTTTCAAGAAGCAGAGGGAGCGGACAATCAAAGGGCTGCCACCACAAGTGGCGGTGGTGGTGGGATTCGAACACACGTCCGGCTGGGGTGATAATTTTATGACGTTACAACCGGACCACCACCGTCCATGGTGTGTTTCTCTCAATTCTCGACGACTTTATTTATTGTATCCAAACCGATTGAGGTTCATCATGCAATGAAAGATTGCTCGCCTTAACCCGGACGTTGATTTATCACATTTCTCGACCATCCTGCGAAAAATACATAGAACTATACGGAATTGCAATTCTACTGCGTAGTTTGTTGATAGTTTGCTGAAGCTGGGACGAATAAGGCCAGGAAGAACATATGTGAGTTTTTGACCCCATTTCACCATCTGATTGAAAACGTTTTATACAGATCGATGCTGACCGTGTTTGAAGGCATTCACGAGACAATATGAGATTAAGTGTTCGGTAGCAGTTTATTCTAACTAGGGGGAAGAACATCCAAACGCTAGACTATCCGCTTATTATTGCGAAATTCGGCACTCTTTTTGACATCTCACAAACTAGTACTGCAATGTGTCTTGATTATATATATCCTTACGGTCATTCAATTAGGCCACCACATGTGCCACCATACCCATCCCTTTTCCCAAACAAAGTTTACGGTTGGGAAGGATGTGTCTCTAGCCGAATGACAAGAGGCATTCAGTTAATTGAACTTTAAGCGAACAAAAAGGAATGCCAGTAACGAGGACATACCTCAAAGATCGGGAAAAGATGACCAAAAAATAGCACAAGCGTGCCCAATTTCGATCTGATCTACATGCGTATGCATTGTTCTTGACTATGCTTGATAAGACAGCTGAAAAATATAGCAATTTTTTCAACAAGCGACTATCGCAGGGCAACTGCAGCTTGTTTCGAATGAAGCTAGCTTTGGAAAGAAGAAAGACTTTACATTGAATCGAGACCGGGGGTAGCCATTGCTGTGCGGATGTTTATTCTGGCGAGATTTAACTTACCGGTGATCCCGGATTGAGACAACGCAGTTCCGTTCCACGGAGAATATCCCTGGTGAAAACAAATAAGAGGATATGATCATTTTTAGGTGCTATTCATGGATGGATGGTGCACAGAAATCTGCAATCGGGCGTATCATCGCTACTACTGAAGAGTTGAATATCCGATTTGCTGATCACCTTTAATACAGGAGTTTACTAAATCCGACGATCTATTGGGCTGTTCATTATGGCTATTGGAATTTTCCAAATATGGCTTAGAGTGTTCCCCGATTGCACCCAAGGAACCGCATTCAATGAGACATTTTCCATTCTGTTCCAGAATTCCTCACTTATCGCACTCCCCGTGTTCATCAGTTTCAGTTTTAACAACCATTAACGATGCAGTTTCGTGCACCGGTTTTGGTTGCTATCTTTCGGCTGCTAGTTTGGATCAACAGTAAAATTATAATTGAAATGTTGAGAGCAGAGTCAAAGGAAAGATAGAGAATTCATTTGGACTGGAGTTGCAAGAATATTGAGTAGATGCACGAGCGCCAGTGTTTGGGAAACTCAGTGACATCACTCAGCGACTCTAACCATCGAGTACTATGATCACCGGGTCCCCATCCCCATCCATGGAACTTAACTGGACCTATTTGATTCAGTGTCTTGGTTAGGGTTTTTATACACTCATACCAAGTCCTATTTTGACCGCCTTGACTGTTTTCCACCCACTACCTGCCACTGAGTGAGATGTTACAGCATCTTCATCATCATCATCAAGCCTGAAAGTTACCACATTCA